AGAGAGAGACAGAGACAGAGAGACAGAGAGAGAGAGACAGAGAGAGAGAGACAGAGAGAGAGAGAGACAGAGAGAGACAGAGAGAGACAGAGAGAGACAGAGAGAGAGAGAGAGAAAAATAAAGCAGACGGGAGGAAGGAAGGGAAAAAAAAACCCGCCCAGAAGGCACAAACCTCAAGCAGGGGCCAGCAGCCCTAGAACTGCAAGCCAACTCCCCCCCCCCAGGCCCTAAGATCCCCTAACAGAGGCTCCAGGGCAGAGCCGTCTTCCACGCCCTCCACCCCTAAAAAAAATGAAGAGTCCAGGAGAAAGGCAGCAAAGAAGGAGGTCTGCTGGTAGGACCTAGAAGCCTCAGCAGGAGGAGCAGGCTCGAATGCCTCTGTCCCCAACCCGGATGGGGCAGGCCCTGAAGCAGCAAGAGTCTCATTACCAACTAAACCCCACCCCAACTCCGAAACCCTGAGACGTTTGGGAGCCGGAAGCAGGAAGTAGGAAGGGGGGGGGGGAAGAGGAAGGGGGGGGAAGAGGGACAGGGGAAGGACAAGGGAGCGCAGATGAAACCAAAGTCAAAGCGAATAACACCCCCAAGTCCGAGTCCCTTTAACCAAAATGGGGCAGCCTCAGGGCATCTAGGTGGGCAATCAACCTAGAGAGCTGCAGCAACCTAAACCTAGCATGCAACGCGGATGCCACCTGTACCCGAATATCAATGTCATAGGAATGGTTAAATTGGAGAACAAGCAGAGAAATGACTTGCCAGACTCCAGGTCAAAGGTGTCGTTGACCTAAGAGGCAGCATGACAAGGCAAAAGTGGTGACCGTCACCCAGAGTCAAGGGCACACAGCAACCTTCAAACTCGCACGAGGCGAGCTGAAACTTGGAAGATGCATCCATAGGTCCACCGAGCCCCGACAGGGTTTTCCAGGGCCTGTAGGCTGACTACTACAGGAAGCCCTGGCAACATGTTGCTAAGCGGTTAGACCCAAAAGCTAACAAGGGGGGATGATCAAAACACTGAAACTCCTGCGACATGTACAATCACGGGGGACCTAGCAGAAGGCCAATGAAACAATATACTATAGTGACACCTCGGCTTATGAATGCCCCAATTTACAAACTTTTCGGGTTACGAGCCCAATTTCTTTGTAAAATTTGAATCAGTTTACAAGCTTTGCTTTGAGTAACATAGTTTGTTGATATATGTATGGGCGACCCCGCTTCAGTTAACCAGTGCCTCCCGCTTAGTGACAATCACACTTGAATTCTTTGTAAAGAATTGTAATTGTAATTGTTTTTCGGTTTTCTGGGGTTTTGAACATAAAAGTAATGATTATATATCACGCAATGGGTCCCAAGAAAGTCAGTAGTAAGGTTCAACCTAAGAAAACACATGTGAGGATGACCATAGAGCAAAAACAAGAGCTCATTTGTAAACATGCAAATGGTACACGGGTTGTTGAACTAGCTAAGCAGTACAACAAATCTATGTCAATGATATGCACTGTAATTGCTAAAAAAAAAAAAAGACATTATGAATGCTAAATTGGCCAAAGACATATCAACAATCACGTAACAAAGAACACAAACACTTGAGGATGTGTAAAAGTTGTTATTAACTTGGATACACAACAAGGAGTTAGCAGGTAATAACGTTTCAGAGGCCATCATTTGCGAAAAAGCAAGGAAATTGCACAAAAATCTTATGAAGAAAACCCCTGGAACAAGTGATGCAGATATGAAAGTGTTTAAGGCAAGCAGGGAATGGTTTGAGAAATTTAGAAAAAGAAATGGCATTCAGTGTTGTGAGTATTGTGAGTTGGTGGAGGAACACAGCAAAGAACTGACCACGGAAGAACTCCTAGCCTTTTCACAAGCAGCAGTAACAAGAGGCAGCTGAGGAAATTTCTTCAGGGGAGGAGGAGGCAGTACAGAATGTCCCTTCCTCAACAATTAACACTGAGCGACCCATCGTGCGTGCCCCAGCCCACCCCAAGGTGGGCCAATTGTTTCCCGTGACCGCACGCCCGCACTAAAATTTATCTCTTTTAAAGTTTCTCATTAATTTTTGTGGTACATCATTCATTTTTGTATCAAATTGCTCACAATAGAATTCTGTATAGGGATATATGCATACTGCATAAGGTAAAAAAAGCCCAGCATGCCACCCGCACCAAGCCCAAAAATCGGCCGAGTGTTACCTGTGAGCGTGCAACTACACTAACATATGTGTACTCTTTTAAAATTTTCTCACCTCAATTCTCGTGCTACGTCGTTCATTTTGTATCAAATTGTATCAAATTTGGTATCAATATTTGGTACCACCAGGCAAAGAAAACAAAAATAAAAGAAAAACTCCGCAAAAGTACAACAACCCCAGAGGAAACAGGAACCGGCTGCTACACAGGTAAGCTGGCTGTGCAACATCTTAATGCCCCAACCAGCAACAATACCACTCCCTACTCAAGGCCAAACAATGGCCACTAAATCCCAGCCAGCCCCCAAGGGCAGGGTAAATGCCAAGCAGCATAAACCGCTACAGAAATGGCATCCCGAAGGCACCAGGAAAGATAATCCTAACACCCAAGGGTAGTACTCACAGGGAATTTAGAGAAGGCTGCCCTAAGTGCATGCAGCACTGATTCACTTAAGTCCACCTGGCCACCACACCATGAACAGCAGAGGATGCCACTAAGTCAAAACACTGGCAAGAAACCGAGGCGAGTGTTGACGACCACCCCGGATTGCATTAACCAACGAACTGGAGTCGCTGGGTAGCCGGCGTGGGAGGTCCGGATCTCCCCCCTCCCAGAGAGGGGAGAGCTGCGCGGACGAGCAGTGCGGCAGCGAGGTGTGACATTTGCCTGATTGCATGTTTCCTCAAGATTTGAGGGAGTTCAGTTACAATTCCTCTCTGTTCGGTTGCAACCTCTGAGAGGTTGCAACCCTCTCTATTCGGTTTTCAGTTGCAATTTTCTTACCATGTGAGGTCTGTTTTGTTATGCCTACTTTTCTGGGTGCCTAACCCCAGTCAATGGCAGATAAGGAAAACCCCCAAACACAGGGGGGGTTTCCAGGAGCCATTGCTCCCTGTGCCTCTCTAAAGGGGCCAGGGTTCTGGCTTGTGGTCCATGATAGGCTGAACTTCATTGACTTACCTCCTTGATGGGGTTCTGGGAGTAGTTCTACTCCCCAAGCACGGCCCGAGGCCAGGCTCGACTTTGTGAGAGTTTGGTCCACCAGGCTGTTGCTTGGAGCGGCCCGCAGGTCCACACACCCACCACAGCCTGGCTGATCCGGAACTTCTCTTAGAAGACAGTCCAGTTTCCTCTTGAAGATGTCCACGGTTGTTCCGGCAATATTTCTTATAGTCGCTGGGAGGACGTTGAACAACCGCGGACCTCTGATGTTTATACAGTGTTCTCTGATTGTGTCTATGGCACCTCTGCTTTTCACTGGTTCAATCCTGCATTTTCTTCCATATCGTTCACTCCAGTACGTTGTTATTTTACTGTATAGATTTGGGACCTAGCCCTCCAGTATTTTCCATGTGTATATTATTTGGTATCTCTCTCATCTCCTTTCTAGAGAGTACACTTGAAGAGCTTTGAGACGATCCCAATAATTTAGGTGTTTTATCTCATCTATGCGTGCTGTATATGTTCTCTGTATTCCCTCTATTTCAGCAATCTCTCCTGCTCTGAAGGGGGAAGTGAGTACTGAGAGAATACGCCCTGATCTAATGTATTGCATATTAGCTCGATAGCTCCAGGAAGCCGAAGGGGCTTCCCACAGAAAAAAATGCCTTTGAAATATTTTTAAAAGCATTTAGCCGACAAGCTAGCAGGCAAAAATCATTGTGAGGATCTGAATGTGACCCTGGCAGGCTGTTCCTTATGAATTGTGGCCTATGTTCATCCCATACCTCACACCATTCATAATTTGGGTGCAGCTAGCCCCAAGCATCTTGCCTCCAACTTTGTACAGGCAGACAAACAAATACACTCTCTCTCTCTTATAGTACGAATACACACATGCAATTGAGGGTAAACATGACCTTACTACATAGACTCATAGGCCTCCTGCAGTGTTCCTGCCTGGCATGAACTTGTAGGTCTGAGCTACAGCATTTCTTTCTTCTTATCTATGGTAAGTAACTTTGGCTTACTAAATAATTTAATCTTAACAAAGGTCAGCATGAGTTTTATTTCACTATCATTCACCGCTGATTCGCAAATTCAGGTATTCCTCGATTAGCATGTACCTTGGACATAGACACCCTTGTCAGGGTGCTCCTTAAGGTCGAGCTTCTTCTTAACATCTGTTCCGAGGAGGTCACGAATTTCCTCATTGTAGATCTCGAGGTAGGAGGCCAAAACCAGGTACTTCATGTTCTCTGTCGTCTGGATCACCTCGAAGATGTGCTCGAATGCCCTACGGGATACAAGAAATGAGTCATTTGAAGTTCAATATTCAGCCATATGTGATACTTTCAGGAATTTCAAGATAAACCAGGACTTATTAGAGGGGTTTCAAAATGAATGAAAACAGGTTATTTAAAAACATAAGAATAAAGGTAACGGCAAAAGGTTTGTTGGATCATACAAAGCAGCTCCAATACTCACCCAAACTCATCTAAATATACCGTACTTGCTAGCATATATTGTTGCACTCACGGAGACAAAACTTGAAGACGTTATTTTAAATGAGGTCATATTCCCAAGGGGCTACTCAATTTGGAGACGGGACAGAAAAATTAGAAAAGGCGGTGGCGTTGCTGTGCTGGTGAAAGAACACCTAAAGGTGAACGAAATAATGATTGCCAATCCACAAGAAGTTGACGTAATAGCATTAGAGATCTGCCATGAGGATGATAAACTAATAATCATAAATGTATACAGTTCACCACCAAGCAGCACATGGTCAAAGGAGGAGCTAGATAGTAAACGAGAGGGTCTTATAGCAACAATGAGAGAGATTATGGCAAAAGCAGATAACGATATTTCACGACTGCTGAAAGTCGGCGACTTCAACTTGAAATCCATAGACTGGGAAGCATATAAAACTAGAACAGAGGATTTTTGGACCGGTAGATTTGTAGACCTCATCGTGGAAACATTCTTGTATCAACATGTTAAACAAGCTACGAGGATAAGGGAAGGGGACGTTCCCTCCATGCTAGATTTGATATTTACCAGGAAGGAGGAAGAGATATTTGACATTCAATACCTTCCTCCCTTGGGTAAAAGTGACCATGTCTTTTGGGGAATAAAGTATGCAATGCGTTATAATCTGGAAGAAAATAAGGAGGTTGAAGCAGTTGAAAAACCTGACTTCAGAAGAGGACATTATGGTGACCTTAGAAAATTTTTTAGAGAGTATAATTGGATAGACTTGATGCTAGGCAAGGAAGTAAATGAGATGTATGTCAAGTTTTGTGAAATATATGATAAAGGTACAAAAAAATTTATACCAAAACAGAGATGCAGAACTAGGAAACAGGATTGGTTTAACAGAAATTGCGAGAGGGCCAGAGACCAAAAGACAAAAATGGAATCAGCATAGGAAGAGGCCAAACCCCATACCAGCGATACAAACGCTGGTATGGGGTTTGCATCGCTGGTAAACATACCAGCGATACAAAGATGCGAGAAACAACTACACGGCAGTGAGGAGAGAGGCAGAAAGAAATTTTGAAAAAGGGATTGCAGACAAATGTAAAACAAAACTAGGTCTATTCTATAAATTCATTAACAACAAATTGCAGGTAAAGGATAATATTCATAGCTTGAAAATGGGAAATAGATTCACGGAAAATGAAAAGGAAATGAGTGAAACATTAAATAAAAAGTTCCAAAGTGTGTTTGTACAAAATTAAATCTTCAGGGAACCAGACAATTAGAATTCCAGAGAACAACATAGAGCACATACAGTAGTGGTGTCTAGAGACGAAGTGGAAAAAATGCTCAAGGAGCTAAGTAAGAACAAAGCAGTTGGTCCAGATGGAGTTTCACCATGGGTTCTGAAAGAATGTGCACCTGTGCTCAGCATTCCACTTCAACTGATTTTTCAGACATCCCTGTTTACAGGAGTTGTAGCTGATGTGTGGAAAAAGGCTAACATAGTTCCAATCTACAAAAGTGGCAGCAGGGAAGACCCCCTTAATTATAGACCTGTATCATTGACAAGTGTAATAGTCAAAATATTGGAAAAAATAATTAAAACTAAATGGGTAGAACACCTGGAGAAAAACGATATACTGTACTGTAATATCAGACAGGCAGTATGGTTTTCGATCTGGAAGATCCTGTGTAACAAACTTACTCAGTTTCTATGATCAAGGGAGCCGGTCGGCCGAGCAGACAGCACACTGGACTTGTGATCCTGTGGTCCTGGGTTCGATCCCAGGCGCCGGCGAGAAACAATGGGCAGAGTTTCTTACACCCTATGCTCCTGTTACCTAGCAGTAAAATAGGTACCTGGGAGTTAGTCAGCTGTCACAGGCTGCTTCCTGGGGGTGGAGGCCTGGTCGAGGACCGGGCCGCGGGGACACTAAAGCCCCGAAATCATCTCAAGATAACCTCAAGAAGAAGCCACAGAGATTTTACAGGAAAGAGATGGTTGGGTTGACTGCATCTATCTGGACCTAAAAAAGGCTTTCGACAGAGTTCAACATAAGAGGTTGTTCTGGAAACTGAAACATATTGGAGGGGTGACAGGTAAGCTTATAATATAGATGAAAAATTTCCTAACTGACAGAAAAATGAGGGCCATAATCAGAGGCAAGGTATTGGATTGGAGGAATGTCACGAGTGGAGTTCAACAGGGTTCAGTTCTTGCACCGGTAATGTTCATTGTCTACATAAACGATCTACCAGTTGGAATACAGAATTATATGAACATGTTTGCTGATGATGCTAAGATAATAGGGAAGATAAGAAACCTAGATGATTGTCATGCCCTTCTAGAAGACCTGGACAAAATAAGTATATGGAGCAACACTTGGCAAATGGAATTTACTGTGAATAAATGCCATGTTATGGAAAGTGGAATTGGAGAATATAGATCCCACACAACCTATAAATTATGTGAGAAATCTTTAAGGAATTCTGACAAAGAAAGGGATCTAGGGATGGTTCTAGACGGAAAACTGTCACCTGAGGACCACATTAAGAACATTGTGCGAGGAGCCTATGCTACCCTTTCTAACTTCAGAATTGCTTTTAAATACATGAATGGAGAAATACTAAAGAAATTGTTCATGACTTTTTGTTAGACCAAAGCTGGAATATGCAGCAGTTGTATGGTGCCCATATCTTAAGAAGCACATCAACAAACTGGAAAAGGTGCAATGACATGCCACATGTGGCTCCCAGAACTGAAGGACAAGAGCTATGAGGAGAGGTTAGAGGCATTAAATATGCAAAAACTAGAAGATAGAAGAAAAAGAGGCGATATGATCACTACGTACAAAATAATAACAGGAATCGATAAAATTGATAGGGAAGAATTCCTGAAACCCGGAACTTCAAGAAGAGGTCATAGATTGAAATTAATGAAACAAAGCTGCCTGAGAAATACTGGTATAAGAAAATTCACTTTTGTAAGCAGAGTGGTAGATGGTTGAAACAAGTTAGGTGAGAAGGTGGTGGAGGCCAAAGCTATCAGTAATTTCAAAGCGTTATATGACAAAGAGTGCTGGGAAGACGGGACACCACGAGCGTAGCTCTCATCTTGTAACTATACTTTGGTAATTACACTTAGGTAATTACCGTGTAAATGGCGATAAACCCACACCTATCACTCCTAAAGAAAAGGCGGAGTCCAGGAGAAAGGCTGCAGAGAAGGAAGTCTGCCGGGTTGAACCAAAAGCCTTGGCCGGAAAATGGTCTAAATGGGTTTTTCCCTTCCAAGTCCGCACCCGACTTGGAAGGAAAAAAAACTGAAGCCACCTGAGCCTCTTCTTGAACTAAACCCCGCCCCGACTTCGAAGCCTTCAGACATTCTGAAGCCAGAGGCCGGGGGAGGGAGGAGCAGGGTGAACCATGTCCAAGTGGGAGCGCAGACGGAACCAAGGTCGAATCGACCAACGCCCCCCAAATCCTGGACCCCTAAAACCCAAGCGAGGCAGCTCTGGGGCTTCCAAATAGGTACGTTGCAACAATGAAAACTTAGCATGCAATGCAGCCACTGCCTGACTCCTAAGATAAAGAATGGGTAAACAGGAGTAAAAGCGGAGAAGAAATCCCACAGGACTTCAGTTCAAAGGTGTCACCAACCCAACAGACAGCATGACGGAGGCAGTACATTATGGACAATCGTCACCCCTGAGACGGGTAACAAATAACCTTCGACCTCACACAAGGCGAGAGAGAGAGAGAGAGAGGACTAGGAAATTATGTTCTCGGTCAACCCGAGCCTCAGGCGATTTTCCAGGGCACGCAAGGGAGAGTAACCCTATGGGGAACCCAGGTGCTAGATTAGCAAAGCCAGTTGAACCCTGTGTAATGACAGGCAAACTGACCCCTCAGCAGTCATGAAACCTCAAGGGTACCAGAGTAGGACCACCAAACACAACCTAACCGAATTTAATTGGAAGCTAGGCAGACCTCCAACCAAACAAGAAATAAAACATAACCCCCAAAATCCCACAAACAAGCAAACTGGAGGCCAGAGAGAATCACGGCCACTGCATGTGTGCAGGCTGCGCCAATCACAGTGCACCCCACCCAGCAACAATCACTTCCTATCCAAGGCAAGACAGAAAGCCCCACAATCCTCGCCCAACTCCAAGGGCAAGGCCTATGCCAATCGACGGAGACCTGAACGTCTCGAATCCTGAACGCCCCAGGGAAGAGAACCCTGAACACGCAAGAGTAGTACTTACAGGACGTTTAGGGAAGCTAGCCCTAAACGCATGCAGCCTTGCGTAGAGAAGAACACCTGGCCACCACAACCGCCCCACGGAGCTGACACAGACACACAGGGCAAAATCGAGGAAGGAAAGTGAGGCCAGAGGTAACATGTGACCCGAGTGCACATCAATCAAGAACTGGAGTGGTAAGCTACTGGCTTGCCTAAGTGGGTTCCCCCTTCCCCCTCTCAGGGGAGGGGGGGGCACTTTTTTTTTCTTGCAGGGAAATTCCTGCACAGGCCCTAAGCCTCTGGTTGGCCCACTAAGTGTTGCTTGTTTCTGTTTTACTTAGGCAGAGTATGAGTATTTATGACTCGTATGGTCGCTTCAGTAAGATTTTGTCCAATGTGTTTAACAACTTCTTCTGGCCTGTTGCATCTAAGTTGAAATCTTATTGGGTTTGTAACTGTACACTGTGTTAGATAATGTTCCAGTGGTCTGTCGGGCATTTCTCCAGAGCTGACATTTCCTCTCATCTTCTGGAACCTGTAAGCCTATTTCCCATGCACATGGGTATCCAGGCCTGATGCGATGTAAGTGTACTTCTGTTGTTCTACTGCTCCCTTTCATCAAAATAAGTGGTTCGTAGTTGGTTGAATTCTTGTACCAACCAGCAGATCTTGCAACTGTTGTGTTGTGGTCACTGTACATCATCTGCATTGCTCTATTTCTAATTACTTTCTTAATCTGTGATAGACTCTGTGGTCTACATTTCTTTGCTTAGTTGTTATTATTCAATTTTGGCAAACATTTTTAACAGCAACATAAATATAAGATCTAACGTAACCTCTCCTAGTAATCCTAGGCCAAATACATGCTATCTTAGGCCTGATATGATACATGTATGTGCTACACTAGGCCTAGGAATATTAAGTTTGGCTTTTAGCTTTATTTCTTCTGGACTAAATAAAATTATTAGTACAAAAAGTACTTTATTGGTGGTTCATTACTACATAGTGGTACTGTCAAACATATACATGTACTTAGTATAAGTACTATCTATTATCTAATAGTACTATCTTAAGTACTATTAGGAGGATGGGATGAGGTTTTGCATTTTTCTTCGATAAACTGCACTTGACATTTCTCCTCTTGGACTGTTTGGTGCAGATTAAGGAGTTACATCTTGCAGGATTGGCGTTCAATCCCCAGTAGTCCAAGTGGTTTGGCACTGTTCATTCTCCACTTGCTACTACCCCAGCTCCATATCCTTACATCCCCCCAAAGTGCTATATACTCAAACTCATTTAGCGTTTTCACTGGTTTTTACTTTGATATGATGCTATGCTGCATTATGGGGTCTGGCACTGGTGCCTACCTGGGTAGGATGCCATGCTGCATGGCAGGGTCTGGCACTGGTGCCTATCTGCATAGGATGCTATGCTGCATGGCAGGGTCTGGCACTGATACCTACCTAGGTATGATACCATGCGGCATTGTGGAGTCTGACACTGATGCGTACCTGGGTATGATACCACGCTGTGTGGCAGGGTCTACCACTCCCTGCATGGTGAAGGACTTCCCACACCCTGTCTGGCCGTAGGCGAACACCGTTCCGTTGTACCCCTCTAACACACTCTGTGGACAAGTGAGAAAGGTAAGAAGGGTGAGACAGATGATCCAGCCCATCCTCCTGTTTTGGTTGTACTTATAGTAATGATGAGGACCATAGTACATATACCGATGTACAACACAATGAGAAAATAGAAAACTGTACTATTGAATTTAGACAAACTGGAAAAGGTTTTGTATTCATATTGCAAATACAACCTAAACTAACCTAACCAAACCTTCCTAGGCCTAATACATGCTATATGAGGCCTAATATAATACATGTGTGTGCTTTACTAGGCCTAAGAATAATGAGTTTTTTAGCTTTATTTTTTGGATTATAAAGTGAACAGTACCAAATTATATTATCTAATTGCTTAGTGTGTAAATATTTGTACAGTACTATGGTATACATAGTTACAAAAACTACTATCTAAACATGAGTATGGGTTGGATGATCCACGTGAGACCAGTGAGCAATGATGAAGGTGAGACAGTTAAGACGTAAGAGACAGGTATGTCAAATAGACAATTACTAGGGAAGCAGCTGGTGAGGGCAAGAAACAATAATGGAGCAAGCGAGAGGGGCAGATAGGAAAATAATGAGGGCAATCACAAGGTGAGGGAAAGAAGCTATGATGGAATAAGTGTTAGATGGTCAGATGGTGTTAGATGGACAAATGGTCAGGAGACTGGCAAATGCTTTTAAATATTGACAAATGCAAGACCTTGCATATGGTGCATTGCAACCCAGACCATAACTACTAAATTAATAACATTACATTACAGCAGATTGATGAAAAAAAGGACCTTGGAGTCAAAAGCCACCATTCACTGAGAGTTACAAAACAGGTAGAAGCAGCAATAATAAAAAAAAAAAAATTGAGTGTAATGAAATGCCATTTTCTGGGTGAGACCTGGAGGCTCCCCGGAGCTATCTGGGCTAATATTAGACCCTGGCATCAGTCAAAGCAAATGGAGTTCTAGGCCTACAGGAGACCACAAGCCAGAGCTTGGCTCCCCTCAAAAGACACACAAGGAGGGAAACCAGGTCAACCCAAAGCACGTTCCCGGCCACCGTGGCTGTGGCGCACAGGTAATAGCCGTAACCGGACACAACACATGATGGCCCCCCCAGCCGAACCAACCAAGCATCAACAACCCAAAGACCCCTCTGGAAAGCAGCAGTCTTATTCTTCGCCAGAAAAGAAGATGGCTGCAAACGAACAAATCTACCACCAGGACCAAAAGAGCAGAAACCTCCCCAACACAACCCCAGAGGTCAATGCCAACAGGAAAAGAGTTTTCGCAAAACAATCTTGAAGTGAAGGGCCACAACAAACCGAGGAGAAGAGAGAAAAGGGAGCACCCGGTCCAATGACCAGGATGGCTCACCTTCCACCCAATAGAAGTCCTCCCTGCCCCAACCCCTTCCAGCCCCCACTAAGTGCCCAATTAGGCCACACTATCCCCTCTCCCCAAGGGCTCCCTTCTTCCCCAATCCCCAAGCCCTCCCTTCTAAAAATTCTCCCCCACAAATGCCCTCCCTTCTCCCCTCCCCAAGCCCTCCCTTCTCCCCTCCCCCCCCCCTCCCAAAGCCCTCCCTTCTCCTTCATGGCCACCCTTCTCCCACTCCCCCAAGCCCTCCCTTATTTCCCACCCACATAAGCCCTCCCATCTCCCCCACTCCCCTATGCCCTCCCTTCTCGCCCATCCCCCTATAAGCCCTTCCTTCTCACCCCCCCAAACCCATCCTCCTCTCCCACCCCCCAAGCCCCCCTCCTCTCCCACTCCCCCTAGCCCTCCCTTTTCCACCACCCTTTCCATCCCAGACCCTCCCAGCCCGCTCACACCCTAAATCTTCCAGGTCCCCCTTCCCAGGGCCTCCCATCCTGGACCCTCCCAGTTTCCCTATGTCAGTGGAATCAACAGAAACTTAGGATGGACAGAAGACTCAGCTTCAAGGTGATGTACTCAAACATAGATGGGATTACAAGCAAGGCAAGTGAACTAAGGGAAAGAGCACAAGAAGTGAACCCGGATGTATTTAGACTCATGGAAACAAAACTCTCAGGAATCATAACAAATGTGATGTTCCCCAGGACTACACTGTAATAAGGAAAGAGAGGGAGGGACGGGGAGGAGCGAAGTGGCCCTACTAATGAGAAAGGAATGGAGCTTCAAGGAGATGGTTATCCTGGGCTGCAAGGGGTTCAGAGACTACATTACAGGCACCATGATGATGGGAGGACCATGAGTAGTAGTAGCAGTGTTATATAACCTTCCACCAAATGACAGAAGGTCTCATCTCATTTTTGTTCTTGCAATGTACCCGTTATCACTTTATAAATTTTGCTAGAATTCACTTACTTAAAATTATATGTTAGATTAAGGACCTGCCCGAAACCCTGCGCGTACTAGTGGCTTTACAAGAATATTAGCACCATGCTATGTATTCTTACAAACCCAATGTACTTTCTTGCATATATATAAATAAATAAATAAATAAATAAAAAGAAGACCCAAGCAAAAGTATGACAATAAAAACATGAACACTATAATTAACACTATAATTCAGAGGGCAGCATCTGGTGCCTGTAGAAATAGATCCCATCTGCTCATCATGGGGGACTTCAATCACAGAAGGAGAGACTGGGAGAACAAGGAACCGCATGGAGGTGAGGAAACATGGAAAGCTAAACTATTGGAGGTGGCAACAAAAAACTTTCTAAGCCAGCATGTCAAGGGACCCACAAGAATCAGAGGCAACGATGAACCAGCTAGACTCGATTTAGTCTTCACTCTGAACGACTCCGACATATGGGAAATCGGTAACAAAGCCCCAGTAGGAATGAGCGATCACAGTGTACTGACATTCGAGTATCTTGTCGAAGAAGGGGTTCACGTACTCAAGGAAGGGACCAGAAAACAAAAGACTGGCGTTTTGAACGGAAAACTATGAGGAGATAAGAAAATTCCTAACAGATATAACTTGAGAAGCAGAGCTCAGAGAAAAGACGGCCCAAGACATGATGGACTACATCACGCAGAAGTGTAAGGAGGCAGCAGACAAGTTTGTCCCAGTCCAAAAGGAAAAAAAACGAAATGAAGACGAGAAACCCATGGTTTAATCAGAGATGTTATCTAGCAAAGCAACAAAGTACAAGGGTGTGGAGAAACTATAGAAATAACAGGACACTTGAAAGCAGAGAAAGATACCAGAGTGCCAGGAATGAATTCGTGAAGGTGAGAAGAGAGACAGAAGGGTAATACGAAAATGACATAGCAAGCAAGGCAAAGACTCAACCTAAATTGCTGCACAGCCACATCAGGAGAGAAGCAACAATGAAGGAACCGGTAATGAAACTGAGGATGGGGGACAGACAGATTCACTACAAACGACAAGAAAGTGTGCAAGAAACTCAATAAGAAATTTCAGGAGGTTTTCACATTAGAACAAGGAGAAGTTTCAGAGATATGAGAGGAAATAGATAACCAGGCACCACTAGAGGAGTTTGGGATTACCAGTAGGGAGGTAAGGAAGCTTCTGCTAGAGTTGGATGTGACAAAGGCTATAGGCCCGGATGGAATCTCACCATGGATACTAAAAGAAGGAGCAGGAGCACTGTGCCTGCAACTCTTTATAGTGTATAACAAATACACTAGTATTTGTTATACTGGTAACAGGTGAGCTGCCAAAAATTTGGAAGATGACTAATGTAGTCCCGATATACAAGAAGGGGGATAGGCAAGAGGCACTGAACTACAGGCCAGTGTCCCTAACTTGCATACAATGCAAGTTGATGGCAAAATTGTGCAAAAAAATTTGGTGGAACATCTGGAGTGAAAGAACTTTGTAACACAACATCAGCATGGGTTCAGTGATGGCAAGTCATGCCTCACAGGATTAATTGAATTCTATGACCAAGCAAGAAAGAGAGGGGTGGCCAGACTACATATTTTTGGATTGCCAGAAAGCCTTTGACACAGTACCACACAAGAGACTGGTGCACAAGCTGGAGATGCAGGCAGGTGTGAAAAGGAAGGTATTCCATTGGATAAGGGAGTACCTAAGCAACAGAAGACAGTGAGTCACTATGAGAGGCGAGGTCTCAAATTGGCTAGATGTCACCAGTGGAGTTCCACAGGGTTCAGTCCTTGGACCTATACTCTTTCTGTTATATGTAAATGATCTCCCTGAGGGTATAGACTCGTTCCTCTCATTGTTTGCTGATGATGCAAAAATTATAAGGAGGATTAAGACAGAGGAAGATAGTATGAGGCTACAAGATGACCAAGATAAACTGAATGAATGGTCCAACAAGGCCATTGTTGGTCTCGGGCTACTGAAGTCCAACCCGAGTAAATGTAAGGTAAAAAAAATTAGGCAGTGGAAACAAGAGGCCAGACACAGGATACCAAATGGGAGATGAAGTCCATCACGAAACAGAGAGAAAGATCTAGGTATTGATATCACGCCAAACCTGTCTCCTGAAGTCCACATAAAAAGACTAACATCTGCAGCATATGCAAAGCTGGCTACCATCAGAACTGCCTTCAGGAACCTGTGTAACGAATCATACAGAACCTTGTATACCACATATGTAAGACCAATCCTGAAGTATACAGCCCTAGCATGGAGCCCATACATTGTCAAGCACAGGATTAAGCTGGAAAAAGTTCAGAGGTCTACCACTAGGCTAGTCCCAGAACTAAGAGGCATGAGTTACAAGGAAAGACTGCGTGAAATGCTCCTCACGTCACTGGAAGACATGAGAGCTCAGGAAGACATGATCACTACCTACAAAATTCTAAGAGGAATCGACAGGGTATAAAGATAAATTGCTTAATACGGGGGATACGCGAACAAGGGGACACATGTGAAAACTGAGTACCCAAATGAGCCATAGGGACATTAGAAAGAACTTTTTCAGTGTCAGAGTAGTTAACAGATGGAATGCAATAAGCAGTGATGTGGTGGAGGCAGACTCCATACACAGTTTCAAATGTAGATATGGTAGAGCCCAGTAGGCTCAGGAATCTGTACACCAGTTTATTTATTTATTTATTTATATATATACAAGAAGGTACTTGAGGTTATCTTGAGTTATCTCGAGATGATTTCGGGGCTTTAGTGTCCACGCGGCCCGGTCCTTGACCTGGCCTCCACCCCCAGGAAGCAGCCCGTGACAGCTGACTAATACCCAGGTACCTATTTTACTGCTAGGTAACAGGGGCATAGGGTGAAAGAAACTCTGCCCATTGTTTCTCGCCGGCGCATGGGATCGAACCCGGGACCACAAGTCCAGTGTGCTGTCCACTCGGCCGACCGGCTCCCTCATTGGGATTGTGAGGATACATAGCATAGTAATTACATTCTTGTAAAGCCACTAGTACGCGCAGCATTTCGGGCAGGTCCTTAATCTAAGAAAATTTTAAGTAGGTAAATACTTGCAAAATTTATAAAAATGATAACAGTTACATAGCAAGAAAAAAATAAAAGATGAGAGAAAATTGTAGGTATATTAAAGCACATAGGTATATGTGTATAATTGTAGGTATAGGTAAAGCACATAGTTGACTGACAGTTGAGAGGTGGGACCAAAGAGCCAGAGCTCAACCCCCGCAAGCACAACTCGTGAATAAAAATAGGCGAGTACACACACATCTTACCTCGACTAGCGGAAAGGCGACATCATTATAGATGCCCTCGGTGGTGGAGTCGGTGAAGTAGGCCCCGTCGAAGGTGAAGTTCTTGGGCCCAGTGCCCTTGTCCTCCGGGTTGACGAGTCCGCACACCAGGCCATCCATCACCACCACGCACTGCAACGGTCCATATGCTTAGTCATCCACCACTATATAATAATATTAATAACAATGTTTAATAAAATAATAATAATGGTTATTCAGGTAAAGATACATACATACAAAATGAGTTACAAACAGAATGTTGGATTTGTAGATAGAGCTTGAAATAGGCATTGTTCTGAGATGAATACTGCGGATTTCGAGCTCGACGAGCGATGAAAACTGCCACTATTATACAACTACAAATAATAATAATAATAATAATAATGTTTATTTAGGTAAGGTACATACATACAAGAAATTTTTACAAAGATTGGTGGACTTATAGATAGAGCTAGTACATACAATGCCTAAAGCCACTATTACGCAAAGCGTTTCGGGCATGAAAAACTTAAATGACTAGAGCTTCGGTTTTACTTAAAATATTTGTCTGGTAGAGGTTTTATATATAGATCGCGTCTCTGTCTTTCTTCTGACTAATAAATAATTTTGGTTTATTCTATTATGGGCGACCCTTTTGAAAACGCGATACTTGGGTTAACCCATCCCATAGTTGTGTCAGTTTCCATTATGGTTCGGAACAACTACATGTTGGATGGAACAGCATACATTAGCAACAGAACAACAGAAGTGACCACTGCATTAAACAGGAATGTGGAGGATTTTCTGATGAAGGAGAAGACAGTTGCACAGCGCGTTCTGCGGCGCGACGTGCGCAGCGCAATGGGGGCCTATATAAAGGGCAGAGGGAGGGAGACATCTCCCGTCACGCAGGGTGCAGTCGCACCTCCACAGATCTTCAGTATCATCTATCGATACTGGAAATGGCTCAAAAGGGCCACCACTTATGGGCTATTTATGCCCATGCCACCTTTTGGGTGGCTTAATCTTTCTCTCTCTCTCTCTCTCGGCAGAGGGAGCGCGCCTTGCACCCAAATGCTTAGACTGCATCAGTAAAGAGGCAAAACAGATTGGGATCAAACTCAACCCCTCAAAGTCAAAGGCCATGCCCATAAAAATAGCGAAGCCCAACATCCAACTCACAGTACAGGGTCAACCAAGTGAATGGGTCGACACCTATCAGTATCTAGGAATCATCCTGGACACACACATGAATTTTAATGCTGAGGTCACTTACTTGAGAGCGAACTGCGGCGGCAATTCTCAGGTCGCTAACCTCCCTTTCTGGAGGAGCCAATCTGCAAGTCCTTCGCACATACTATGTACAGGCAGTCAGATCAGTGATCGATTATGCCGCACCTGCACTCACAAATCTATCACACCAACAGTGGAAAAAGCTTGAAGTTGCCCAAAACAATGCTATGAGAGCGGCACTGGGAGCCCCCATGTGGACCAGGCTTGAAACTCTTAGACTGGAGACGGGTTTGCCCTCTCTACAAGAAAGAATATCACAAAGGACAGCTACAATTGTCAGTAAGATAATTATTTCTTCTGATCCAATCCCAGTACGGCAGGTCTTGGTGGTTGGACTAGGCCAAAACAATGGAAACTCTTGGGTTACAAGGGCAGGAAAAGTCCTAAACAGACTACATTTAAAAAACATGATTCTTGATAGAGAGGGTGATCATCCACACCCAAATTACACTCCTTCCGCGCCGTGGGAAGAGCCTACTTTCAAAATAGTAATAGAAAGTCTCCCAAAGAAAAAGGCTGCCTATGATCCGACAATCCTAAGGCGCATAATAGAAGAGCAAATGTATAGCATAGCAGTAGCAGGAGCCACCCACATCTTCACACTCAAAATGCAATTATACACACAGACTCAAAAGCTGCACTTCAAATACTAGGACAAAAACAGTGGAAAGATAATGTGGAAATAATTACCACCATTTTGTATCTTGGAGCAGTCGCTAAAGGCAAAGGACTCAACATAACTTTAAACTGGATCCCATCCCATATTGGAATCCCATTAAATGAAAAAGCTGACGAAATTGCTAAATTGGCAACTCGTCATCCAGTGATACATATGGTCACTGCTTCACAAGCGGGGATTTTTCTGGCGGGGGAGAAAGAAACAATTGCGCAGCGCGTCCCGCGGCGTTGCGCGGGCAGTTTGGGGCCGTATAAATACGGGCGCACAATGGGGCTCTGCCTCACTCCGCCCGCCCTCGCCGCTGCCCTCGCAAAACCCCACCTTCCCCCCCTTTGCAAGCGGCTGCTTTTGTACCCCCGTCATGCTTTGCACAGTTGTCCCGATTGTCTCCCCACTGCATGTGGGAAGGGGGGTGCAGCGCCGGTCCCCAAGTGTCCCGCTGTCCGCAGCTAATACTTTGCCCAGTCTAGGTGCTAGTAAGCCCTACTTGTAGTCACACCCCCTTCTCCTTATCCATTAGGTCTTTTACGGCCTCTTGGCCGGGTACATTACGTGTTATGTGGTCTCTCACTTATTAGTTATTCTTTGTGTCCTGCCTGTTATATCCTAGTGTTATATAATTACTACACATTTGCACTCGGCCTTAATTCTAGTACCAGTTAACCTTTAGGTTTCTGCAGAATTAGTTTCCATGTCACTATAGGCTAAGGTCTCATACTTACTACGGGTGTACCTTAAGTTAAATCTAGTCCTCGGACTTGGAATTGTTACTGTTAATTCTTACTTTATATATTTACTTTATATATTTTGATATAAACGTTATATATTTACTTTATATATTTACATGTTCAATATTAAGTTTAATATAATATCAACTTGTTATAAGTCTATAATATAAACCGTGTTTAATATAGACTTTATATAATTACTTACTTTATATTTGAACTTTATATATTTACATGTTCTGCAGAATTTAATCCTCAATAAACTTTAACGCCCCATACTGCCAGTATCTTTCTCCCCCTGGTCAGAAAAAAACAATTCAACCCAGCCTAGAGAACATAAAAAACATCATCACCAAAAAACTCTCACATCTCAACAAAGCCTACCTGCACCAGAGAATATCTGAAGGTTCGCCATCTGCAACATGGTATCTTCAGGCTACCAAATTAGAAAAGTTAAATATCCCAAAAGGAATCCACAGGGAAATAGCAGTTAGGTTATATAGACTACGTCTAGGTTACAGATGCAACTGGGAGATTGGTGAACCCCGACAGAGAGAGTGCATCTTCTGCCAAACTGTCACAGAAAAGCCATTACTTCACTATCTTCTGGAATGTGAAGCAACCAATGACCTTAGAAGAGCTTTAAGAGTTCCTGAATCATGCAGTGGTCACCCTGAAGCCATCAACACAGCCACTCTCCTGGTCAACAAAGGTGTCCAGCAGCTGGACACCCTCATAAAGACTGTGAAGCAGTATCCTCCCCCGCGATAACAGCTTGATGGTTAAATGCAAACTCAGAATAAAGAGAAATTTTTTTTTACCACTTACGGGCTATTCATGCCCGTGCCACCTCTTGGGTGGCTTAATTTTCATCAACATCATCGGCAGAGGGAATTACCAGAGATGGGGTTAGGAGGTATCTGCTCAATCTAGATGTGACTAAGGCTGTTGGACCTGATGGAATCTCACCATGGATGCTAAAAGAGGGGGGGGGGGTAGAAGCACTTTGCATGCCACTATCTATGGTGGATAACAAGTCACTGGAAACAGATCAACCACAGAGTTGGAAGGAAGCTAACATAGCCCCAATATACATAAAGGGCGAATGGCAGGAGGCCTTAAACTACTGGCCGGTGTCCTTAAATTGTATACCATACAAAAGGGATAGATAAGATTGTGAGAAAAAAGCTGGTAGCACATCTGAAGAGAAGGGATTGTTTAACACACCACCAGCATGGGTTCAGGGATGGCAAATTGTGTTTCACAGGTTTGCCTGTGAGTGCACAACCACTAAAATGTGTATACTCTCTTCAGTTTTCTCATGTCAATTTTCGTGTTACATTGTTCAATTTGGTATCAAATTGTTCGCAATAGAATTTTCTAAAGGGGTTTATGCATACAAGGTCAAAAAGCCTGGCATGTCACCCGAAGCAAACCCGAAAATCGGCCGAGTGTTATCCGTGAGCGTTACCCCATCAATTTTCGTGTTACATCGTTCATTTTGGTATCCATTTGTTCGCAAAAGAATTTTCTAAAGTGATATACACATATCAGATAAAAATAAACAGGCACACTACCGACAGCAAACTAGAAAGTCTGCTGAGCGTATATCCCATGAGCGAGCACCATCTGCCCATCCACAATAAAATGTGTATACACTGTTCAGTTTTCTCACCTCCATTTTCATGCTATGTCATTCATTCTGGTATCAAATGATTTGCAATCTAAAGGCGTGCATTTTAAAGCTAGTCCCATAATGATTGGAAACAAATAAAATTTTAACAAATATTTTAATTTTGGACGTCACGGCCGTCCGTTTCGCACATCCGCAGAGTTAGTTGTGGACGTTTGCGAACAAATAGGGGCCAGTCCAGTGGAGTGGAGAGATAAGGACAAAGCCACAGTTAAAGAGATCCTTAAAGGAGTATAGATGGAGAGGGAAGAACAAAATATAGAAAAGGTTTTCAGGCTTGGCCACAAGGAGACCAATTGATAAAAGAGGTACTGTAGTCACAAGCGAGAAGACAAACGAGGCCATTTTAGCAAGGAAGAGCAAACTATTCAATATGCCAAAGTTCAAAACGGTATTCCTGCCGAGGAATATGACAAAAAACAAGAGAATGAGGGCAGCTGCAGTGAGGAAGGAGTGCAGGGTGAGAGAAAGGTATTAGGGAACCATAGCTCTGAACCCTACAATCCCAGAGGGGAGTGGGGAACCCTCCACAGGCAGTTCAACAACCCCAGTGGGAGGAGCATCACCCCCACCTTCGACCCAATAAAAGCCTTACCTGCCCCAACCCCTGCCAGCCCTTCCCTTCTCCCCCTTCTCCCCCCACCCAAGTCCTCCCTTCTCTCCCACCCCGCAACCCGCCCCTCCTCTCCCGGCCCCCACAAGCCCTACTTCCTCTCCCACCCACCAAGCCCTCCCTTCTCCCCCCTACCCTTACTCAAATCTCTGAATATGTTAGATATTAAGTCACTGCAGATCCTCTCATATGTATTTTATATATATAAAACGCTGAAATGTAATGTCAATCCTGACCTTAAAAGCTTCTTAGAAGGTTGTAACAGAACCCATGGGCACAACACCAGGAACCAATACCTATTTGATATTCCAAGAGTACGAATTAATCAAACTAGAAATGTGTTACAAATCAAGGGACCCAGAATGTGGAATGACCTTCCCAATCATCTCAAAGACTGTACCTCTCCCAACCAGTTTAAGATAAAAACTAAGTTCTACCTAATTAACTCCATGTAACCTACCTTACCCCTAAATGTCATCCCATGTCTTACTATTTTAAACAATGTCATACTATTTTAAACAATATGCTGTTTGTTGACCAAATAGTATATTTGCTATTTTCTACCATGTTCCTCCCCTTTCTTTATTTTTTATTTTTCAACACAATTTATACTTTAATCTTAATTAGTATTCAGTTTTAATCTAAGTGTTTTTCCCCCCTCACCTTGCCCAAAACGCTATGCGTACTAGTGGCTTTAGGTATTGTATGTACTAGCTCTTTCTTTAAATCCAACATTATGTTTGTAACTCATCTGCAATGTATGTACCTTTACCAGAATAAAGAATCTGAATGTTGTTACATCCCAAATTCACAGCACCGTGTAAGGCATGGTGATATTTTACTTGCTGTTCCACCAAATCAAGAGAGCCGGATGCAGTGTTGTCTGGCGCTTTTATCGCGGAATTTCAAGATAACACCATTAATAGTGTCCAAGAAATGTGTAAGTACTTCATTCATAATGATGTGCTGCCCGAAATCTTAGCGAAGTATCCAAAATTTGCTTACTGTAAGTAATGCATGTACATGGCTGTAAAGCTGCCGCCCAGTTGGGTGGGTGTGGAGCACATGACTGTAAAGCTGCCGCCCAGTTGGGTGGGTGTGGAGCACATGACTGTAAAGCTGCCGCCCAGTTGGGTGGGTGTGGAGCACATGACTGTAAAGCTGCCGCCCAGTTGGGTGGGTGTGGAGCACATGACTGTAAAGCTGCCGCCCAGTTGGGTGGGTGTGGAGCACATGACTGTAAAGCTGCCGCCCAGTTGGATGGGTGTGCAGCAAGACTAGTAATTGTGTGACTCATCATAGATTGAATGATAAAGATTAAGCCACCCAAAAGGTGGCACGGGCATGAATAGCCCGTAAGTGGTGGCCCTTTTGAGCCATTACCAGTATCAATAGATGATACTGGAGATCTGTGGAGGTGCGACCCTACCTGACGGGATATGTCTCCCGTGGACTCATCATAGATGTATAGTGCCTTGTATAGTGACTGTTGTGAGCTTCTTGTTGAATCACTTGTGACACAAAAGATTATTGATGTGGGTATTTGTGTGGGTGATTAAATATGTATATGTATGTATATATATATATATATATATATATATATATATATATATATATATATATATTATGTGTGTTATGTGTGTTATGTGTGTGTGTGTGTGTGTGTGTGTGTGTGTGTGTGTGTGTGTGTGTGTGTGTGTGTGTGTGTGTGTGTGTGTGTGTGTGTGTGTGTGTGTGTACATGTATGTATGAGTATGTGTACATGTACATATAACATTAATAATTTTGAAACCAGCGTCAAAATATTGTTATTTGCTTAGCTAAACGAACTAGAGGGTTCAGTTCCTGATCCGATTATGTGCCTCTGTAATCCTTTACACCACTGCCCACGGGATGAGTATGGGATGCATAATAAAGAAAGAAATTGAATTGCTTTTACTAGAAAAAGTGTGATTATCTTACCTCGCAACCCAGATCCTTCTCTCGCTTGTTCATAGGTCGACATCGTACAATAACCTTCACCGTCTCAGGTGACGCCATCTTTCCAGATGTACGAGCAAATACACCGCTGCAGAAGGAATATATTTTTTATATTATATATATATATATATATATATATATATATATATATATATATATATATATATATATATATATATGTGTGTGTATATATGTATATATAAATAAGCCTAATTGCCTAATAAGCCAAGTTTTTATGAATTAATTGTTTTTCGACTACCTAACCTACCTAACCTAACCTAACCTAACGTTTTCGGCTACTTTACCTAACCTAACCTAACCTATAAAGATAGGTTAGGTTAGGTTAGGTAGGGTTGGTTAGGTTCGGCCATATATCTACGTTAATTTTAACTCCAATAATAAAAAATTGACCTCATACATAATGAAATGGGTAGCTTTATCATTTCATAAGAAAAAAATTAGAGAAAATATGTTAATTCAGAAAAACTTGGCTTATTAGGCAAATCGGGCCTTGCATAGTAGGCTGAGAAGTGCGCTCTGGCTACTAGGTACGACATATATATATATATATATATATATATATATATATATATATATATATATATATATATATATATATATATATATATATATATATGTTGTTGAAAATGACCGAAAGAGTATGATTAATAATTCTAACACGAATCTTCTCAATATTTCTTATGTTTTTCTTCACTGTTGAGGGTAATTTAAAAATTAACTCTCCAAAATTAATTCTTTATTTCTGGTCTGACGCCTGAACGCGTTTCGTAATGCTTATTACATTTTCAAAGACTTCATTTACACATAAAATTCATCATACTTATATTTGGGTGAGGTGAGGTGAGGTCTTGGGAGATGATATGGCACAAAAGTTTTGGGTGGGGTGACAAAGCTAAGACAGAACACGAAACAATGGATATAAATTGAATATGAAAACATGAGAATGTTAGTAACTGCAGAAGGCCTATTGGTCCATACCTCCTCTTGCTGCTTCTATGTTGGTTCGAGGTCTTGAAGTGGTTGTGCTTCTATGTTGGTTCGAGGTCTTGAAGTGGGTAGAATATAGTTGTGCATTAATTGGCTGTTGATTGCTGGTGTTGACTTTTTGATGTGTAGTGATGTGCTGATGTCGAGTCTCCTGCTATCGCCGTATTTATCGATGCTTTCTGTGTTGCTTATTAAGATTTCTTTGGTGATGGTCTGGTTGTGAAGAAATTATATGTTCCTTGATGGAGCCCTGTTGTTTGAGCATGGTTAATCGCCTAAAAAGAGACGTTGTTGTCTTGCTTATATACCGAGTTCTTTGGGGCTTACAGTCCCCAAGCGGGCATGTGAAGGCATAGACGACGTTGGTCTCTTTCAAGGCGTTCTGTTTGGTATCTCGGAAGTTCTTCATGAGTAGGTTGGCCGTTTTCTTGTTTTTGCAGCAAATTGTCAATTGTATCTTCTGATTTTTGTCTCTGGCGATAACGTTCCCATTATTAATATCTATCATGACAATTTCCTCGATTTTGTGAGCCGTCGAAAAAAAGTTGCATGGCGTTTCACTGTTCTTTTGATGTCGTCTTCAACATAACTTTTAGAGAAGCCATTGTTGCCTTGGACCTGCTTTACTTTACAGAGTTTTTCATCGACCTGCTTCCAACCAGAGCTGTGAGTGAGAGCCCAGTCGATGTAAGCATTGATAACACTCCTCTTGTAACTGTCTGGGCAGTCACTATTGGCATTAAGGCACATTCCTATGTTAGTTTCCTTAGTGTAGACTGCAGTGTGGAAGCCACCATTCCTTTCCGTGACTGTTACATCTATAAAGGGCAGCTTCCCATCACTCTCCATCTCATAAGTGAAACATAACACCGAATTTTGCTCGAATGCCTCCTTCAGCTGCTGCAAACATCTGACATCAGGTACCTGCATAACAATGTCGTCAACGTACCTACAGTTGACATGGACTTGAAACACGCCATATACTGCAGGCACCTCCTATTAGACTGTTTTACAGGAACTTCTTTTTGACAGCTCACAAAACAGAAGAAAGTGTCCTGAAAGATATTATTAATAGGAACGTTATCCCCACAGACAAAAATCAGAAGATACAATTAACAATTTACTACAAAAACAAGAAAACAGCCAACCTACTAATGAAGAACTCTCCAGACACCAAACAGAACGCCTTGAAAGAAACCAACATCGTCTATGCCTTCACATGCCCGCTTGGGGACTGTGAGCCCCAAAGATCTCAGTATATAAGCAAGACAACAACGTCTTTTTCTAGGCAATTAACAATGCATAAACAACAGGGCTCCATCAAGGAACATATAATCTCCTCACACAACCAGACCATCACCAGAGAAATCTTAACAAGCAACACAGAAATTATCGATAGATACAGCGACAGCAGGAGACTCGACATCAGCGAGGTCTTACACATCAAAAAGTCAAAACCAGCAATCAACAGCCAATTAATACGTAATTACATTCTACCCACTTCAAGACCCCGAACTAGCACAGAAACAAGAAGACAAATGTATACCCATGGTTATATACCATTGTATATATCCATTGTTTCATGTTCTGTCTTTTCCCATTGATTTGTTTCTTATCATGTCACCCAAAAACTAATATGAGCACGATCTGAGTATGTAAAAAAATTGTCTTTGAAAATGTAAGAAGTGTTCTTACAAAACGCCTCTAGGCGTCAGACCATAAATAAAATTTGAAAATGAACTCTGGAGAGTTAATTTTCCAATTACCTTCGACAGTGAAGAAAAACGTAAGAAATATTGAGAAGTTTCTTGTTAGAATCATTAAATTCTTGCCCATTCGGTCATATTCAACAACATATGTTTACAAGAAAGACTGCTACCAAAATATACTAGTATTATATTATATATATATATATATATATATATATATATATATATATATATATATATATATATATATATATATATATATATATATATATAAGGTTAAGGCGTCCTGTACATACCAGTTGCAGCTCCTATCTACATACAAAGATGTATGGTTATATATATATATATATATATATATATATATATATATATATATATATATATATATATATATATATATATAACCACCTCTGGAGCAATTGTAGGGACCCACAGCCTTCAAGAAGAAATCTAAGAGCATGAACTCTTAAATCTTTTCCTCTCCTACCACCCCTATATACAGTATATAATTTGTATGTTGAGCAGTGTCGTCTATGTTGGCATCTTCACATTCTGGTCTTGTTCTTACTCTCATGGTGGGTAGAGTGAATAGTTCCGTAATTTGGGTATTTATGGTAGGTTATACCCAACCTACCATAGGTTATACCCAACCTACCATAGGTTATACCCAACCTACCATAGGTTATACCCAACCTACCATAGGTTATACCCAACCTACCATAGGTTATACCCAACCTACCATAGGTTATACCCAACCTACCATAGGTTATACCCAACCTACCATAGGTTATACCCAACCTACCATAGGTTATACCCAACCTACCATAGGTTATACCCAACCTACCATAGGTTATACCCAACCTACCATAGGTTATACCCAACCTACCATAGGTTATACCCAACCTACCATAGGTTATACCCAACCTACCATAGGTTATACCCAACCTACCATAGGTTATACCCAACCTACCATAGGTTATACCCAACCTACCATAGGTTATACATAAATACCCAAATTACGGAACTATTCCCTCTACCCACCATGAGAGTAAGAACAAGACCAGAATGTGAAGATGCTAACATAGACGACACTGCCCAACATGCCACGCCCACTACATCTGATTAATCACTATGTGTTTCGAACACATAGTGATTATGTGTACGAAACACATAGTGATTGAATGTGTTTCGTACTCTATTTTCGCCGTATTCTACTCCTTTCTCCTTTATCCCTTATTCTATACCCATTGTTTGATCCATCTGTATTCACCTGACCCACTAACAGTATACGTATCTGCAACACTGGCTGATACTAATAGTATCAACCAGTGTTGCAGAGTGCGACATTCGGCGAGTGTTGCAGAGTGCAGGATTCAGGTAATGTTTGTGTGTGCGACATTCTTCGACACCCGCTGGATCTCAACTACGGTGATGGATCTTTCATACACAATTACGGAGCTTGAAAATATGCAAGGAGCTTTGAGATATTCTTGGAGGCAACACAAGTCACTCACAATACAAGACAAGACAGAAGACACTAGTACTCACGCCAAGCTTCACTGAAGGAAGCGATCAAGGCCAGAAACTGATCGTGGTTGTTGCGAGGTGGTGGTGGTGGAGTAGTGGCCAGACTGCTGGTGGTAGTGGTGGTGGTGATGGGGTAGTGGCCAGACTGCTGGTGGTGGTGGTGGGGTAGTGGCCAGAGTGGTGGTGGTGGTGGTGGTTGTGGCCGCCTGTCTACTGCCCAATCCACCTCATCCTCGTCATCCATCCTTCATGTTCCGCTCCACACCAACATTTCTGTTGGAGATGGTGGTGATAGATGAGTGGGCTGTTGGAGATGGTGGTGATACATGAGTGGGCTGTTGGAGATGGTGGTGATACATGAGTGGGCTGTTGGAGATGGTGGTGATAGATGAGTGGGCTGTTGGAGATGGTGGTGATAGATGAGTGGGCTGTTGGAGATGGTGGTGATACATGAGTGGGCTGTTGGAGATGGTGGTGATGGATGAGTGGGCTGTTGGAGATGGTGGTGATGGATGAGTGGGCTGTTGGAGATGGTGGTGATAGATGAGTGGGCTGTTGGAGATGGTGGTGATAGATGAGTGGGCTGTTGGAGGTGGTGGTGATAGATGAGTGGGCTGTTGGAGATGGTGGTGATAGATGAGTGGGCTGTTGGAGATGGTGGTGATAGATGAGTGGGTTGTTGGAGTTGGTGGTGATAGATGAGTGGGCTGTTGGAGATGGTGGTGATAGATGAGTGGGCTGTTGGAGATGGTGGTGATACATGAGTGGGCTGTTGGAGATGGTGGTGATAGATGAGTGGGCTGTTGGAGATGGTGGTGATACATGAGTGGGCTGTTGGAGATGGTGGTGATACATGAGTGGGCTGTTGGAGATGGTGGTGATAGATGAGTGGGCTGTTGGAGACGGGTATGTTCATTGTTAGAGTTTTAAAAATAAAAATATTTATTCAGGTAAAAGTACATATTAGATTTAGATTTTTTATTCAGATCTAGATTTAGGTTTAGATGTTTTTTCTCCTCAAGGGCATTAGACTTGGTTTTAAGGGAAAGGATTACCTCATTTACATCAGTGGAATTTGCAGGCGTTAGGTACAGAGACTGTGGACAGTGGGCTGTAAGATAGTCCTGAACATCAGTACTGGAAGATGGAATATCATTTGCAAGGGATGACCCAATGGAAGAGAAGAACCTATTGAACTCAATGGCAGTATCAGAGGCTGCACGCTCACCATCGTTATTGGACAGCAGTATTGGTTTGTTATTTAAACTCTTCTTTGGTCCCAATATTTGTGAAATTGTGCTCCATGTTTCTTAATGTTGCCCTTTGTTTGGGTAAATTTAACTTCGTAGTATTTAGTTTTGGCTCTTCTAATTATTTTAGATAGGAATGATGAGTAATTCTTTGAGAATTCTTTGGAGACGATTCCAAACCTATACTTCTTCTCAAGGTCATGTTTTTTTATTAATGGATTTAAGTATTCCCTTTGTAAGCCAAGGATTGTTTAGCTTTTTAGTTCTGACTTGTTTCGTTAGCATAGGGCAGTGGGTGTTATAAAGGCTGAGAGTTTTTTGAAGAAATGATTGCACTGCTAGGTTGATGTCCCCTATGTTACCTAATTCGGACTCCCAGGTGACATTAGCAGCAGCAGCTATAAAATTGCCTATGGCAGTTTCATTGTGCAGCCTGAAGCTTATATCCCTTGTCTCTAGACCTTGTCCACATAATGTTGGATTTAAAGATGGAGCTAGTACATACAATACCTAAACCCACTAATACTCATAGCGTTCCGGCCAAGGTTGGGGGGGAAAATCACTTAGACAAAAACTTAATAGTAATTGAGCTTAAAGTATAAATTAAGTTGAAAAAAGGAATATATAAACAAGCGGGGGAAACATAGCAGAAAATAGCATTTATACAAATTGGTCAACAGACAGCATTGTTTAAAATGGTAAGACATGGGTTGACATTTAGGGGTGAGGAAGGTTACATGGAGTTTATTAGGTAGTACTTAGTTTTTATCTTAAACTGGTTGAGAGAGGTACAGCCTTAGACATGATTGGGAAGGTCATTCCACATTCTGGGTCCCTTGATTTGTAGAGCATTTCTAGTTTGATTAAGTCGTACTCTTGGAATATCAATAAGGTATTTGTTTCTGGTGTGGTGCTCATGGGTTCTGTTACAACCTTCTAGGAAGCTTTTAAGGTCAGGATTGACATTACAGTTTAAAGTTTTAAATATAGAGAGTACACACGAGAGTATGTGCTGTGACTTAATATTTAACATATTCAGAGATTTGAGTAAGGGTACCGAGTGCTGTCTGGGGCCAGAGTTATATATTGTTCTAATAGCAGGTTTGTGTTGAGTAATTAGAGTACGTAAATGATTTTGGGTAGTAGAACCCCAAGCACAAATACCATAGTTTAGATAAGAATAGATGAGAGAGTAATAGAGCGTCACCAGGGCAGGGCGAGGTACATAATATCTGATCTTAGAAAGAATGCCAACAGTTTTATAAACTTTTTTTGCTATATGTTGAATGTGTCCCGGGAAATTCAGCTTGTTATCGATGAGGACACTAAGGAATTTACCATCAACTTTGTTACTAATTTGGATATTGTTTATTCTTAGATTAATTTGATCTGAGGATTTATTATCAAACATAATATAAAAGGTTTTGTCAGTGTTAAGGGTGAGTTTGTTAGCAGTTAGCCAAAGATGACTTTATTTAGTTCAGTATTCACTGTGACACTTACAGCAAGGGGGTCAGGACTGTAAAAAATGAAGGTTGTGTCATCAGCAAATAAAATTGGTTTGAGGTGTTGAGAGGCATGTGGAAGGTCATGAGAAAGTAGTAGTAGATGAGAAATGAGGAGATGTAGTAGTAGTCATGAGAAATGAGGAGAGGGCCAAGTATGCTGCCCTGGGGAACACCAATGTTGATGGGTAGGGTGGGAGTTGTGCGTTACACACACACACACACACACACACACACACACACACACACACACACACACACACACACACACACACACACACACACACACTAGACGATAAAACAAATAAGGAAGTTATTTTTATACCAGAGGCAACATAACTATATAGTCATAGCTACAAACACCAGAAGAAAAGGTCTAGACAGAAGCTTTATTTTTTTTACCAATGTAGTGATGGATGGTTGATATAAATTGTTGAAGATTCTGAGCAATGAAACAACACTAAGGCTTAAAGCTGTTTATCACGAAATATTGGACTCCATCCTTACCTTACCTAGCCAGCCCAACCCTAGCATACCTGTATACCTTGTGTTAGTTCCGGGGCTTAGCGTCCCCGCGGCCCGGTCCTTGACGAGGCCTCCTCGTTGCTGGACTGGTCAACCAGGCTGTTGGACGCGGCTGCTCGCAGCCTAACGTATGAATCACGGCCTGGTTATTAATCAGGTATCCTTTGGAGGTGTTAACCTAATCCATTTAATAGTATTTATTAATTTAGAATATAATTGCTGGAAGTTGAATAATATGACAAACCCGTCGATGGTTTCCTCATAATTAAATAACTATGTTGACTCCCAATATATGAGCCGGGTATTAAGGATCGTCCGTGAAAAATTCATTGGTACCATCGACCTTCAGGGTGTGTATTGACTCAGTATTGACAAGTAACGCTGCTACTCTAGACCACACAGCTGGCCACAAGGCGGGGGCCAAGCTCTCGGCAAAAGGACGTAAGTCTTAGGCACTTCTGAGAAAATTGCTTGAGTCAAAGACATGGACTCGACTGTCTAATGAAGGTATAGCAGTATGTTATCAGTAACATCGCGGAGAAGACTAACTACAAGCCGATGAAATACACGACTGAGTGTAACATTTGGCAATAGATCGTTCGACAGATCTTTCAGTGGAAGCTCCTCGGCCTGAAACACTCGCATGCACACACTGACACACACACACACACACACACACACACACACACACACACACACACACACACACACACTGACACACACACACACACACACACACACACACACACACACACACACACACACACACACACACACACACACACACACACACACACACACACACACACACACACACACACACTGACACACACACGCCCAGTAGGCTCAGATAGCTATGGCTATCAGATAGAGCTATGGATAGCTCTAGCTATCAGATAGCTATGGCTCAGATAGAGCCCAGTAGGCTCAGGAACCTGTACACCAGTTGACTGACAGATGAGAGGCGGGACAGGCAGGAGCCAGAGAGTAACAGTAAGAGGCGAGAAGTCGTACTGGCAAACAGTAACGAGTGGAGGACCTCAAGGATCGGTGATGGGCCCAATACTATTTCTAATATAGGTAAATGACATGTTTACGGGAGTTGAGTCTTATATGTCGATGTCTGTAGATGACGGGAAATTAATGAGACGAGTTGTGACAGATGAGGATTGTAGGATCCTCCAAGAGGACTTGAACAAGTTGCAGAGATGATCGGAGAAATGGTTACTAGAGCTCAACACAAGCAAGTGTAAAATGATGGAAATGGGAACACGTGACTGGAGACAATTTTTGTTTTAATTATCGGGGGAAAGCGCCAAGCTATTACGACTTTATAGCACTTGAAAGGGGACCAGGATAAGGATTTGGGTTGGGACGGGAGCGGGGGTGGAATGGTGCCCAACTACTTGGACGGTCGGGGATTGAACGCCGACCTACATGAAGCGAGACCGTCGTTCTACTGTCCAGTCAAAGTGGACAGGAGACAAAAGGGACAGTACACAATGAAGGAAAACTATCTACCTGTAACGACTCGAGAAAGAGATCTGGGTTTAGGCGTAACACCGAGCCTAACTCCAGAGGCACATGTATATAGGATAACGTCAGCAGCGTACTCTGCGCTAGCAAAAGTTAGATCATTATTTAGGAACCTAAGGAGGCATTTAGAGTACTTTACACTGTCTTCGTGACACCAGTCTTAGAGTATGCTGTCCCATCATGGAGTCCCCACCTAAATAAACACACAAGGAAACTGGAAAAGGTTCAAAAGTTTGCGACGAGGCTCTTCCCAGAATTGCGAGTAATAGGATATGAAGAGCGACTGGAAGAACTCGGCCAAGTTAAGTTACTGTGCGTCCCAGTAACTCCATAATATTTCTCACTAATACTCGAACTCAGATTGCCGCCGTGCGCCACGTCAGAATCACGAAGTGAATGTCTAATCGAAGCAAAATGGTGAAAAGTGAAGAATTTAAGTGTGATAAGTACGAACTTTGATACACCAGGTGATAAAGTAAAGTAGGAATAACAGACCGTATCAAGTGGAATGCCATGGAATCACTTAACAGTACAAGTCATTTGTGTGACATAGCTACTGATAACATTATTACGAGGAGCAAATTTACAGTTTAATCTTGACTTGTTGACGATTTTTGTGAAGAGAAGACTTTCATCTGTGGCTCCGTGTCCAGTGTTCTATGGTGTGACTGGGCACATGATTGCCGCACTGTTGCTGCTTGCTAAGCTGTCGTTATTAATGAGCCACCATGCGTCTCACTCCGTCCATTGTTTCCAGTATGCCCGCCCTGTAGCGTCGCTTGCAGTGTGCACTGCTGTACACATACCAGTAACCTAGAACGTGGATGCCACGTGCGGCCAGTGAAGAAGGATAACAAGAGGAGACCGCCACCATTGTGCCGGGTTTCGCTACATCAAAGGATTATCGAGGCTCACCGTCCAATTAGCGGGTATGAATGAGATGTTGAGTGATGAGGCCGGCCAGTAAAAAGTGGTCCTTCTCTTCATTTCGCTATTGTTGTCTTGTGTTGACCCCGGGTTGACCAGCCAGTCAAGTATATCTGTGTTGACCCTGGGTTGACCATCCACTCAAGTATATCTGTGTTGACCCTGGGTTGACCATCCAGTCAAGTATATCTGTGTTGACCCTGGGTTGACCAGCCAGTCAAGTATATCTGTGTTGACCCTGGGTTGACCATCCAGTCAAGTATATCTGTGTTGACCCTGGGTTGACCAGCCAGTCAAGTATATCTGTGTTGACCCTGGGTTGACCATCCACTCAAGTATATCTGTGTTGACCCTGGGTTGACTATCCAGTCAAGTATATCTGTGTTGACCCTGGGTTGACCATCCAGTCAAGTATATCTGTGTTGACCCTGGGTTGACCAGCCAGTCAAGTATATCTGTGTTGACCCTGGGTTGACCAGCCAGTCAAGTATATCTGTGTTGACCCTGGGTTGACCAGCCAGTCAAGTATATCTGTGTTAGCGCCCATTACACGACACAGGTGAACGACTGAGGTAACGTAGCATTGTCAGGCCGTTAACCCAGTGTGATAACACCCAGACAATTGCACAGGTGTTAAGGATTATCTTAATCCTATACATTTATGGTCTTGGTGACCGATTATCTTAATCCTACACATTTATGGTCTTGGTGACCGATTATCTTAATCCTACACATTTATGGTCTTGGTGACCGATTATCTTAATCCTACACATTTATGGTCTTGGTGACCGATTATCTTAATCCTACACATTTATGGTCTTGGTGACCGATTATCTTAATCCTACACATTTATGGTCTTGGTGACCGATTATCTTAATCCTACACATTTATGGTCTTATTGACCAGAGTTGTTCATTGTGATTATTGTATGCGGGACTATCAATATACAAGTGAACATGTTAGTCTATTGATTATCTTAGTGCAATGTTGTAACGAGAGAGAGAGAGTGAATCGCGAGTGTTCAGGTTATCTTATTTTTTTACCTCTTCAAGAAGGGGAGACAGGTAGTGGTGTCAGTATACTAGCTCCATGGGGAAGAGTTCCCTTATGAGTTATGCTATTGTTTACCTTTGCTAAAGTGACACTATTAAGGTAACGAAAGCTCCCTGTTTATTAGCTATACATTTATTAAATAAACGTATTTATTGTAATCACAGCTTTCAGTCAATTCCTTCCCAAGTACTAATCTCTGAAATATAAATACTCTATTAAATACCTATTGGGTAGAGGGCCTGGGCATCGCTGCCCTACAGCCGTGGGTAGAGGGCGTGGGCATCGCTGCCCTACAGCCTTGGGTAGAGGGCCTGGGCATCGCTGCCCTACAGCCTTGGGTAGAGGGCGTGGGCATCGCTGCCCTACAGCCGTGGGTAGAGGGCCTGGGCATCGCTGCCCTACAGCCGTGGGTAGAGGGCGTGGGCATCGCTGCCCTACAGCCTTGGGTAGAGGGCGTGGGCATCGCTGCCCTACACCCGTGGGTAGAGGGCGTGGGCATCGCTGCCCTACACCCGTGGGTAGAGGGCGTGGGCATCGCTGCCCTACAGCCGTGGGTAGAGGGCGTGGGCATCGCTGCCCTACAGCCGTGGGTAGAGGGCGTGGGCATCGCTGCCCTACAGCCTTGGGTAGAGGGCGTGGGCATCGCTGCCCTACACCCGTGGGTAGAGGGCCTGGGCATCGCTGCCCTACAGCCGTGGGTAGAGGGCGTGGGCATCGCTGCCCTACAGCCGTGGGTAGAGGGCCTGGGCATCGCTGCCCTACAGCCGTGGGTAGAGGGCGTGGGCATCGCTGCCCTACAGCCGTGGGTAGAGGGCGTGGGCATCGCTGCCCTACAGCCGTGGGTAGAGGACCTGGGCATCGCTGCCCTACAGCCGTGGGTAGAGGGCGTGGGCATCGCTGCCCTACAGCCGTGGGTAGAGGGCGTGGGCATCGCTGCCCTACAGCCGTGGGTAGAGGACCTGGGCATCGCTGCCCTACAGCCGTGGGTAGAGGGCGTGGGCATCGCTGCCCTACACCCGTGGGTAGAGGGCGTGGGCATCGCTGCCCTACAGCCGTGGGTAGAGGGCGTGGGCATCGCTGCCCTACAGCCGTGGGTAGAGGGCGTGGGCATCGCTGCCCTACACCCGTGGGTAGAGGACCTGGGCATCGCTGCCCTACAGCCGTGGGTAGAGGGCGTGGGCATCGCTGCCCTACAGCCGTGGGTAGAGGGCGTGGGCATCGCTGCCCTACACCCGTGGGTAGAGGGCCTGGGCATCGCTGCCCTACACCCGTGGGTAGAGGGCGTGGGCATCGCTGCCCTACACCCGTGGGTAGAGGACCTGGGCATCGCTGCCCTACAGCCGTGGGTAGAGGGCGTGGGCATCGCTGCCCTACAGCCGTGGGTAGAGGGCGTGGGCATCGCTGCCCTACAGCCTTGGGTAGAGGGCGTGGGCATCGCTGCCCTACACCCGTGGGTAGAGGGCGTGGGCATCGCTGCCCTACAGCCGTGGGTAGAGGGCGTGGGCATCGCTGCCCTACACCCGTGGGTAGAGGGCGTGGGCATCGCTGCCCTACACCCGTGGGTAGAGGGCCTGGGCATCGCTGCCCTACAGCCTTGGGTAGAGGGCGTGGGCATCGCTGCCCTACAGCCGTGGGTAGAGGGCCTGGGCATCGCTGCCCTACACCCGTGGGTAGAGGGCGTGGGCATCGCTGCCCTACAGCCGTGGGTAGAGGGCCTGGGCATCGCTGCCCTACAGCCGTGGGTAGAGGGCGTGGGCATCGCTGCCCTACAGCCGTGGGTAGAGGGCGTGGGCATCGCTGCCCTACACCCGTGGGTAGAGGGCGTGGGCATCGCTGCCCTACACCCGTGGGTAGAGGGCCTGGGCATCGCTGCCCTACACCCGTGGGTAGAGGGCGTGGGCATCGCTGCCCTACAGCCGTGGGTAGAGGGCGTGGGCATCGCTGCCCTACACCCGTGGGTAGAGGGCGTGGGCATCGCTGCCCTACAGCCGTGGGTAGAGGGCGTGGGCATCGCTGCCCTACACCCGTGGGTAGAGGGCGTGGGCATCGCTGCCCTACAGCCGTGGGTAGAGGGCGTGGGCATCGCTGCCCTACACCCGTGGGTAGAGGGCGTGGGCATCGCTGCCCTACAGCCGTGGGTAGAGGGCGTGGGCATCGCTGCCCTACAGCCGTGGATCAACAACAATGTCATGTGGAGCCCTCAGTGTACCCTGATGTCCTCGGGGCACAACCACATCTTTACTTATTTCATCAAATTTACGTACTAATTTATTTCATATATTTGTTCCACTTGACTATACTTTTATATTTGTACATGTCTAAACAAACTGCAGAAACTATTAAAATAATTAACAAACAGGTAGGACATGGTGACCTGCTTGTCCACCTGGCGAATAATTTCTGCTTGAGTAATAAAAGGTTGAAACTGAAGATCTAATCTTCAAAATACCTTCTTCTGAGAATATATTTATTACTGAGGTGTCCGACCACTGCATGTCTGGTGAGAGGAGGGGGGGGGAGGGAGCGTAATGTGTGGGGGGTGGGGAGGGTAGGGGGGGGCGTAATGCAGGGGAGTGGTGGTGTAACCTTATGAGGACGGGCTGGGGGAAGAGGGGAAGGGGAGGGATTACACACTGAAGATAAGTTGGATGCCTGCTGGGATTGGGGGAGGGAGCTCTAGGGGAGTGGGTATGTTGCTTTGGTCACGGGCGCGGAATATTGATTGGCTGAATAATTCATCAGCTGGGCGGCGACGTCATCGATGACGTCATATAAACACTGGCCACAACCCCTGGCAACACACGCATATGTACATGGGATGACAGGCGCGGGCACACGCACACGCACACACACACACAAGCACAGGCGCGGGCACACGCACACGCACACACAAGCACAGGCGCGGGCACACGCACACAGGCGCACAAGCACAGGCGCAGGCACACTCACATGCACAAGCACAGGCGCAGGCACACTCACACACACACGCACAAGCACAGGCGCAGGCACACTCACACACACACGCACAAGCACAGGCGCAGGCACACTCACACACACACACACAAGCACAGGCGCGGGCACACGCACACGCACACAGGCGCAGGCACACTCACATGCACACACACACAGCCACAGGCACACTCACATGCACAAGCACAGGCGCAGGCACACTCACATGCACAAGCACAGGCGCAGGCACACTCACACACACAAGCACAGGCGCAGGCACACTCACACACACAAGCACAGGCGCAGGCACACTCACACACACAAGCACAGGCGCAGGCACACTCACACACACACAAGCACAGGCGCAGGCACACTCACACACACAAGCACAGGCGCAGGCACACTCACACACACAAGCACAGGCGCAGGCACACTCACACACACACAAGCACAGGCGCAGGCACACACACACACAAGCACAGGCGCAGGCACACTCACACACACACAAGCACAGGCGCAGGCACACTCACACACACACAAGCACAGGCGCAGGCACACTCACACACACGCACAAGTACACATCAGTCAAGCATAAGACTAAACTGGAAAAGGTTCAAAGGTTTGCCACCAGACTAGTACCAGAACTGAGGGGTATGAGCTACGAGGAGAGACTACGGGAATTAAACCTCACGTCACTGGGAGACAGAAGAGTTAGAGGGGACATGATCACCACATACAAGATTCTCAGAGGAATTGATAGGGTAGATAAAGACAGACTTTTTAACACAAGGGGCACCCGCACTAGGGGACACAGATGGAAGTTGAGTGCCCAAATGAGCCATAGAGACGTTAGAAAGAATTTTTTCAGTGTCAGAGTAGTAGACAAATGGAATGCATTAGGCAGTGATGTGGTGGAGGCTGACTCCATACACAGCTTCAAGTGTAGATATGATAGAACCCAGTAAGCTCAGTAACCTGTACACCAGTTGATTGACGGTTGAGAGGCGGGACCAAAGAGCCAGAGCTCAACCTCCGCAAGCACAATTAGGTAAGCACAAGTGCAGGCATACTCACATGCACAAGCACAGGCGCAGGCACACTCCACAAGCACAGGCGCACTCACTCACACAAGCACAGGCACACTCACTCACACAAGCACAGGCGCAGGCACACTCACACACAGGCGCAGGCACACTCACACAAGCACAGGCGCAGGCACACTCACACTCACACACAGGCGCAGGCACACTCACACACAGGCGCAGGCACACTCACACACGCACATAAGCACAGGCACACACACACACACGCACATAAGCACAGGCACACACACGCACATAAGCACAGGCACACACACACACACGCACATAGGCACAGGCACACACACACACACACACGCACATAAGCACAGGCACACTCACACACGCACATAAGCACAGGCACACACACACACACACGCACATAAGCACAGGCACACTCACACACGCACATAAGCACAGGCACACACACACACACACGCACATAAGCACAGGCACACACACACACACACGCACATAAGCACAGGCACACTCACACACGCACATAAGCACAGGCACACACACACACACACACACGCACATAAGCACAGGCACACACACACACACACGCACATAAGCACAAGCACACTCAGAGTTCCAGAAATACGAGAGGGAATAGTTAACCAGGCACCACTAGAAGAGTTTGGGAATACCAGTGGGGATGTAAGGAAGCTTTTGCTAGAGTTAGATGTGACAAAGGCTATTAGGCCCGGATGGAATCTCACCCTGGATACTAAAGGAAGGTACAGACGCACTGTGCCTGTCACTCTCCATGGTGTATAACAAATCACTGGTAACAGGTGAACTGACAAAAATTTGGAAGACGGCTAATGTAATTCCGATATACAAGAAGAAGGATAGACAGGAGGCACTGAACTACAGGCCAGTGTCACTAACTTACATACCAAGCAAATTGGTGGAAAAGATTGTGAAGAAAACTAGTGGAACATCTAGAACGAAAGAACTTTGTAACACAACATTAGCATGGGGTTCAGGGATGGCAAGTCCTGCCTCACAGGATTAATTGAATTCTACGACCAGGCAACAAAAATCAGACAAGAAAGAGAAGGGTGGGCAGACTGCACATTTGTGGATTGCCAGAAAGTCTTTGACACAGTACCACACAAGAGACTAGGGCAAAAGTTGGAGATGCAGGCAGGAGTGAAAGGGAAGGTACTCCACTGGATAAGGGAGTACCTAAGCAACAGAAGACAGCGAGTCACTGGGAGTGGTGAAGTCTCAGATTGGCGAAGCGTCACCAGTGGAGTCTTGCAGGGTTCAGTCAGTTCAACACTGACCGTTCCATCAACACTCACTCTCCCTTCAACATCTTTAAGGGACCTATTTAATAACTCAAGATTCCGTTCAACACTGTCTTTATTTGCTGCAACCTTAGTAAGGGCGTCAACTTTATCCTGTTCCTACAGGCCAATGTGAGAAGGAATCCACAACATTTTTATGTTTACCCCCCCTTGTTAAGTATGCTTACATATCTATGTATATATATATATATATATATATATATATATATATATATATATATATATATATATATATATATATATATATATATATGACAATGTCAGACCACGGATCAAGATCTGACCACGTCAGATCACTCCTTCTGAAGATGTATTAATATACGAAAGTACTTAAGGAAATTCCTGTTTCATTTTTCCTCCGTGGTCTGACATTATCACATTTTTAATCACGTGTTTATTTTCGTGATATACACACACACACACACACACATATATATATATGTATATATATATATATATATATATATATATATATATATATATATATATATATATATATATATATACATTAGCACATTATTACTTGATTGCAAAACTGTTTATTGTTAGTAATGAGGAAAGGGTGTCGGAAATAATTAAGCTGTCTACTTCAGTGTTGTGAATAATTTCGAGTGCTACCAACCAAAGTATTGCTACCAACACAGCTTGCATTGTGGATGCCCAGTTTCTAACTTTTATATTCCTTTGAATTGTGCTGCCATCGGGCTGATGAGCAATAACAGCACTTCCTGCCCTCCCTGTAGCTGTATTGAGTGATTCGTCAGTGTATATGGTCTGTGCTATGTTGTTTTCAGCTTGTATATTGTGAATGTGTTCTAGGGTGCTTAACAGCAAGCTGAGCATGAGGGTTGTTTGTGATTAGTTTCTTGGTGGGGTATGCAGGGGTCAGGATGTCAAAAGGTACTATCTGCCAGGATGGAAGGAAGTGCTGTACTCTTTCATCTGTACATGCATCGTGCAGTCCCATCATTTTAATATGAGTGGCTGTTCTTTGAATCCATTCAGACTCGCTGGTTCCATTGCGTATGTTTTGTAACAGTTCAACTGACACAATGTTGCTTTTGTTATCACGCAGAAGCTTTAGTCCCATCTTAAGATTTCAAATATTATATCTTTAATGCTAGGTATATTTAATTCCTTCAGCACATTGAGAACTTTGTTAGTTATAGGACACCCAAGTATAATTCTCAGTGCTTCCATTTTGCATTTTTTCCAGTCTATCAATACTTTTATCATTTTGCAGGACTAAAGCTGGTGCACGATAGTCTATCAGAGACCTTATATATACTAAGTACATAATTTTTGCTATTCTAATATTAACATCGTGTTTAGGGCTATACCCCACTACAGTTCTGAGAACCTTGAGTCTGTCTCTACGTTGTTGGTGTAACTTATTGACTGGAGTTGAAGTACAAGGGAAAGAGACCAAGGTATTTGAAAGAAGAGACATAGTCGATTGGTATGTTATCTATCGTAAGTTTTCGTGGTCCACTTTTGCGATTACCAATTTGTCTGTTAAATATCTTAGTTCTAGCAGCGTTGATTACAAGACCAAGGCCTTGATTTGATTTGTTGATTATTGCCGCCGGAGGCGGTTAGTTTATTGTGCACCCCATACTCATCCTGTGAGCGTTTAGACATGCGTACCAGGAACTGGGATATGAGGTCATAACGAGGAACGGTGCTCGACATAACGCGTTACAAGCACCAAAAAAAAATAATTTCGATTTGACAAGACCGTCGAAGACTCATTTTTGTTCATTCTTTGATCCATGCAACCATGTAGGTCGGTGCTCAATCCCCGACCGTCCAAGTGGTTGGGCACCATCCCCCCCCCCTTTCCCGTTCTATCTCTAATCCTTATCCAGATCCCTTCCCAGTGCTATATAGTCGTAATGGCTTGGCGCTGTCTCCTGATAA